TCTCTCTTTCCTTCTTCCCCTCGTCCCTCTTTCTCTCCTTCTTTACCTCCTTCCTTTGCTCCCTCTTTCCTTCCATCCCTTTTTTCCTTCCTTCCTTCACTCCTTTCTTTCCTTCCCTCTTTTTCCTTTCCTTCTACTTTCGCTCCTTTCTTCCTTCTCTACCTCTTTCCTTCCTTCCTTTGCTTTTTGTTTCCATCCTTCCATCTCTCTCTCTTTCCTTCTTTCCTTCCCTCCCTCTTTCTCTCCTTCTTTACCTCCTTCCTTTACTCCCTCTTTCCTTCCATATAGAGCCGTTTAGGGCTTTATAGGCCAAAGCCAGCACTGAGTTGTGCCCGGTAGCAAACTGGTAGCCAGTGGAGCTGGCGTAACATGGGAGTTGTATGCTCCCTGTATGCCACCCCAGTTATTAACCTGGATGCCTCTTGTTGGACTGAGCAGTCTTCAAAGGCAACCCCACGTAGAGTGTGTTGCAGTAGTCTATCCTAGATGTAACAAGAGCGTGGACCACCGTGGCCAAGTCTGACTTCTCAAGGTATGGGCGCAGCTGGTGCACAAGTTTTAATTTAGCCCCAAAAGGTAAACATTAGATTTGTGTAAATAGGGGAATTCAAAGTGTTTGGCTTCCTTCCTGCAGGGAGAGCTCACTTCCTCCTTCTTTTTCCCAAAAGCTCTCAGTGCTTCAGAACCCTTTTGTTGGAGAAGGGAGCATCATGAGGCCTTTCTCTTCCCACAAAGAGTGTCAGCATTTTGGACTCTTCTACCAACTTCCTTTTGTCTCTCTACTTCCACAATGAGAACAGTTTGCACCTTTTTCAAACCCTAGCAGAACCTCCTGTGTATTTTCCCTCCCGTTTCTGACCATAAGCTCACATATAGTTGGATACTCTAGTAAACTTACATGGTAAGCATATCCCTTCAAGGCAGGGGGGTTCTGCGTGGGAAGTTTGGCCCAACTCTGTCGTTGGTGGGGTTCAGAATGCCCTTTGATTGTAGGTGAACTATAAATCCCAGCAAATACAACTCCCAAATGTCAAGGTCTGTTTTTCCCAAACTCCGCCAGTGTTCACATTTGGGCATATTGAGTATTCGTGCCAATTTTGGTCCAGATCCATCATTGTTTGAGACCATAGTGCTCTCTGGATGTAAGTGAACTACAACTCCCAAACTCTCGGGGTCAATGCCCACCAAACCTTCCAGTATTTTCTGTTGGTCGTGGGAGTTCTGTGTGCCAAGTTTGGTTCAATTCCATCGTTGGTGAAGTTCAGAATGCTCTTTAGTTGTAGGTGAACTATCAATCCCAGCAACTACTACTCCCAAACTCAAGGTCAATGCCCATCAAACCCTTCCAGCATTTTCTGTTGGTCATGGGAGCTCTGTATACCAAGTTTGGTTCAATTCTGTTGGTCATGGGAGTTCTGTATGCCAAGTTTGGTTCAATTCCATCCTTGGTGGAGTTCAGAATGCTCTTTGGTTGTAGGTGAACTATCAATTCCAGCAACTACAACTCCCAAACTCAAGGTCAATGCCCACCAAATCCTTCCAGTATTTTCAGTTCATCATGCGAGTTCTGTGTGCCGAGTTTGGTTCAATTCCATCATTGGTGACGTTCAGAATGCTCTTTGGTTGTAGGTGAACTATCAATCCCAGCAACTACAAGTCCCAAACTCAAAGTCAATGCCCATCAAACCCTTCCAGCATTTTCTATTGGTCATGGGAGTTCTGTGTACCAAGTTTGGTTCAATTCCATCGTTGGTGGAGTTCAGAATGCTCTTTGGTTGAAGGTGAACTATCAAACCCAGCAACTACAACTCCCAAACTCAAGGTCAATACCCACCAAACCCTTCCAGTATTTTCTTACCAAATATTCCTACAGATAGGCCCCTTTCCGCCTAGTTCTTCCAAGCTGTTTTGCATGTGTGAATGTGCACAAAAAAACCCATGGAATGAGAACACAGTGCGTGTGGGTTTTTTAATTGGGATTTTGAGCACAAGCGGTCCCCAAGGCTCAAGAGTTCGGTCAGAGCAAGTTCAGCGCGACACACAAAAGGCATCAAGATCTGCTCAAATACTAGCTGGAAATGTGGACACGTCCCTAAAGACGCCCTTCGTTCAACCTATTTCCTGGTCACAGTGAAAACTGGATGGAGAGGGCTGTGTGAGAGATTTGGCCCATTTCTATCGTTGGTGGGGTTTCCTGCCCACCAACATTCTGTTTTCCGTTCTTAAGTTCGGAGTAGAGCAACTGCTTTGGGAGATGGTGGTTGGGCGTCCGGACTACATGGCCGGTCCAGCAGAGTTGATGGCAGAGGACCATCGCTTCAGTGCTGGTGGTCTTTGCTTCTTCCAGCATGCTGACATTTGTCTGCTTGTCTTCCCAAGAGATTTGCAGGATTTTCCAGAGGCAGCACTGATGGAGTCGTTCCAGGAGTTGCATATGACATCTGTAGACAGTCCACGTTTTGCAGGCATATAGCAGGGTTGGGAGGACAATAGCTTTATAAACAAACACCTTGGTATGCCAACGGATGTCCCGGTCCTCAAACACTCTGTTTCATTTGGAAGAATGCTGCACTTGCAGAGCTGAGGCGGTGTTGTATTTCAGTATCAATGTTGACGTCTGTAGACAGTCCACGTTTCGCAGGCGTATACCATACGGTTCGCTGCTTCATTCGGAAAAATGCTGCACTTACAGAACTCAGGCGGTGTTGTATTTCGGTGTCAGTGGTGACGTCTGTAGACAGTCCACGTTTCGCAGGCATATAGCACGGTTGGGATGACAGTAGCTTTATAAACAAGCACCTTGGTATCCCTACGGATGTCCCGGTCCTCAAACACTCTCTGCTTCATTTGGAAAAATGCTGCACTCGTACAACTCAGGTGGTGTTGTATTTCAGTGTCAGTGTTGATGTGTATAGACAGTCCATGCTTCGCAGGCATATATCAGGGTTGGGAGGGCAATAGCTTTATAAACAAGCACCTTGGTATCCCTACGGATGTCCCAGTCCTCAAACACTCTCTGCTTCATTCGGAAAAATGCTGCACTCACAGAGCTCAGGCAGTGTTGTATTTCAGTGTCAATGTTGACTTTGGTGGATAGGTGGCTGCCAAGGCAGCGGAAGTGGTCAACATTTTCTAATGTGACACCATTAAGCTGTATTTCTGGCATTGGAGAGGGGTTGGCCGGTGACTGTGGGAAGAGCACTTTGGTTTTCTCGATGTTTAATGACAGGCTGAGCTTCTCATATGCTTCTGTGAAGGTGTTTAGAGTGGCTTGTAGGTCTTCTTCTGAATGTGCACAGACGACGTTATCATCAGCATACTGGAGTTCTATAATAGATGTTGCAACCTTGGTTTTGGCTTTCAGTCTGCTGAGGTTGAATAGCTTGCCATCTTTCCGATAGCCAGCAGTGCTGTGGAGTCGGAGGAAATCCTGAATTTCTTTGAAATGAAACCTTCTGCCTCATTAGTTGCATGAGAACCTTCCTGGTTGAGAAATTTCAACCAAAGAGTATATTTTAATCAATCTTAAGTAGCTGGATGATTCATGTGCTTCCTGCTAATGTTGCACCAGAGTAAATGGGTTATTAATACACACTTGCCATTTATGAAGGAATCGAAAGAAACAGAAATAGAGAAGTCAGAGTCAAGGTTTGCCGTTCCCACTCCTGGCAGCGAGTTAATAAAAGGGACCCATATTTGAAACATGGACGTGGTAAACATGTGTGGGTGAGAGAGAGCGTGTGTGGCTGGAGGGAGTCTTGTACCAGCAAATACCTTCAAGGCAGGCGGGTTCTGCGTGGGAAGTTTGGCTCAACTCTGTCGTTGGTGGGGTTCAGAATGCCCTTTGATTGTAGGTGAACTATAAATCCCAGCAACTACAACTCCCAAATGTCAAGGTCTGTTTTCCCTAAACTCTGCCAGTGTTCACATTTTGGGCATATTGAGTATTTGTGCCAAGTTTGGTCCAGATCCATCATTGTTTGAGTCCATAGTGCTCTCTGGATGTAGGTGAACTACAACTCCCAAACTCAAGGTCAATGCCCACTAAACCTTTCCAGTATTTTCTCTTGGTCATGGGAGTTCTGTGTGCCAGGTTTGGTTCAAGTCCATCGTTGGTGGAGTTCAGAATGCGCTTTGATTGTAGGTGAACTATAAATCCCAGCAACTACAACTCCCAAATGTCAAGGTTTATTTCCCCAAAGTCCACCAGTGTTCACATTTGGACATATTAAGTATTGGTGTCAAGTTTGGTGCATATCTATCGTTGTTTGAATCCACAGTGCCCCCTGAATGAAGGTGAACTATAACTTCAAAACTCAAGGTCAATGCCCATCAGACCCCTCCAGTATTTTCTGTTGGTCATGGGAGTTTTGTGTGCCAATTTTGGTTCAATTCCATCATTGTTGGAGTTCAGAATGCTTTTTGGTTGTAGGTGAACTATAAATCCCAGCAACTACAACTTCCAAACTCAGGGTCCATGCCCACCAAAGCCTTCCAATATTTTCTGTTGGTGATGGGAGTTCTGTGTGCCAAGTTTGGTTCAATTCCATCATTGGTGAAGTTCAGAATTCTCTTTAGTTGTAGGTGAATTATAAATCCCAGCAACTACAACTCCCAAACTCAGGGCCCATGCCCACCAAACCCTTCCAGTATTTTCTGTTGGTCATGGTAGTTCTGTATGCCAAGTTTGGTTCAAGTCCATCGTTGGTGGAGTTCAGAGTGCTCTTTGGTTGTAGGTGAACTATAAATCCCAGCAACTACAACTCCCAAACTCAGTGCCCATGCCCACCAAACCCTTCCAACATTTTCCGTTGGTTATGGAAGTTCTGTGTACCAAGTTTGGTTCAATTCCATCATTGGTGGAGTTCAGAATGCTCTTGGGTTGTAGGTGAACTATAAATCCCTTGAATTTTATGCCTAAGGGTTATTCCATCTGGGAAATCTGACTAAAGTGGGACTTTGTCTTCCCTGAACCACCTCTCTCCTTTCCTCCTCACCAGGAACGGGGTGAACGTCGAGGGGGCCACGCACAAACAGGTGGTGGACCTGATCCGGGCGGGAGAGAAGGAACTGGTCCTGACGGTGTTGTCGGTGCCGCCGCACGAGGCCGACAACCTCGACCCCAGCGACGACTCTCTGGGCCAGTCCTTCTACGACTACACCGAGAAGCAGGCGGTGCCCATCTCCATCCCCACCTACAAGCATGTGGAACAGAATGGTGAGAAGTTTGTGGTGAGTACCAGTCCTGAGTGGGGATCTCCACCCGGCACATCCGCCTTACGGTTGGTTGCCTTCAAAGGGCTGTTGAATCGATGGATGGAAAACTATAGATAGTTTTTGGCTTGTTGTGAGTTTTTCGAGCTCATGTTCCAGAAGCATTCTCTCCTGACATTTTGCCCACATCTATGGCAGGCATCTTCAGAGGTTGTGAGGTCTGTTGGAAACTAGGCAAGTGGGGTCTATATACTGTATATACACGGGTATAGTTTTTCAGCCCATTATTATTATTATTATTATTATTATTATTATTATTATTATTCCTTCCTTCTCTTTTCCTACTTTTCTTCCATCCTTCCCTTCCTCCCTTATGTCCTTTCTTCCTTTTCTCTTTCCTTTATCTTTCCTTTCTTTCCTTCCACTCTTTTCTTCATCCCTTCCTTCCTTTTCTTTTCCTTCTTTCCCTTCCTCTCTTTCATCCTTCCTTCCTTCTATTCGTCTTTCCTTCCTTTCGTCTTTCCTCCCTCCTTCCCACTCTCCCTCTTTCTCCTCCCATCCTTTATTATTATTATTATTATTATTATTATTCCTTCCTTCCTTCTCTTTTCTTCCTTTCTTTCCTTCCTTCTCCTTTTTCCTTCCTTATCTCCTTCCTTCTTCTTTCTTTCCTTTCACTCTTTTCTTCCCTTGCGGCCAATAGAGCCACTCTCTCCTCCCTTCCTCTCCACTTCCTTTTTCCCCTTCCTTCTTTCTTTCCTTCCTTCCTTCTTTCTTTCTTTCTTTCCTTCTTTTCTTCCTTCTTTCCTACTTTCTTTCCTTCCTTCCTTCTTATGTTCCTTCATTTCTTCCTTCTTTTCACTTCCTTTTTCCCTTCCTTCCTTCCTTCTTTCCGTCCTTTCTTTTCTTTTTCCTTCCTTCCTTCCTTCCTTCTTTCCTTCCTTCCTTCCTTCCTTCCTTCCTTCCTTCCTTCTTTCCTTCCTTTTCCTTCCTTCCTTCCTTCCTTCCTTCCTTCCTTCCTTCTTTCCTTCCTTCCTTCCTTCCTTCCTTCTTTCCTTCCTTCCTTCCTTCTTTCCTTCCTCTTTTCTTCATCCCCTTCTTCCTTCCTTCCTTCCTTCCTTCTCTTTTCCTTCCTTCCCTTCCACTCTTTCATCCTTCCTTCCTTCCTTCCTTCATCTTTCCTTCCTTCTTTCCTCCCTCCTTCCCTCTCTCCCTCTTTCTCCTCCCATCCTTTCCTCCCTCCCTTTTCGTCTTTCCTTCCTACTCTCTTCCTTCTTCCTTCCATCCATCACGGGGCATCCAGTCATCCTAGCGCAGGGAGTGCTAGCATTCAGCTCCCAAGTTAGTGTGTCCGTTTCTGGTCTAGAGCAAGAAAACTCTTTTTGTCAAGTTGCTATGAACTACAAGTCCCATTCCCCCTGCCCTTTTAGTGTGCTAGGTGGCACTTATGGGAGTTCTAGTGCAAAACCTCTGGAGCAGTCTCGGGTTTTAAAGTACAATGAAGGCCAGAGAGTGGAGGCTCTGTGACATGGCTGCTCTCCTTGTCTCCCTATTCAGGTCTATAACGTTTATATGGCGGGGAGGCAGCTTTGCTCCAAGCGGTACCGGGAATTTGCCATCTTGCACCAGAACCTGAAGCGGGAGTTTGCCAACTTCACCTTTCCCCGCTTGCCGGGCAAGTGGCCCTTCTCCCTCTCCGAACAGCAGCTGGATGCCCGGCGGAGGGGCCTGGAGGAATACCTCGAGAAAGGTAGTAAAGGCTTTGTGGGCTTGGCAAAGATGGCACACTCCGGAGGAAAGGATGATCGTTTTTTGGGCCTGGCATTTGGAGGACATAATAATAATAATAATAATAATAATAATAATAATAATAATAGTAATAATACAGGATATAAGTAAACATTATTATTATTATTATTATTATTATTAGTAGTAGTAGTAGTAGTAAAATAATAATGTTTACTTATATCTCACATTATTATTATTATTATTATCATCATCATCTAGGGATCTTGGGACCCATATCCTTGTGAAGAGGACTGCAGGATACAAGTAAACATTATTATTATTATTATTATTATTATTATTATTATTATTATGTTTACTTATATCCTGCTTTTTCTCTCCACAAGGATATAGGTCCAAAGATCTCTAGATGATAATAATAATAATAATAATAATAATAATAATAACAATAATGCAGGTTATAAGTAAACATAATAATAATAATAATAATAATAATAATAATAATAATAATAATAATAATGTTTACTTATATCCTGCTTTTTCTCTCCACGACAATATGGTCCCAAGATCCCTAGATGATGATGATAATAATGCGGGATATAAGTAAATATTATTATTATTATTATTAGTAGTAGTAGTAGTAGTAGTAGTAGTATGTTTACTTATATCCTCCTTTTTCTCTCCACAAGGATATAGGTTCCTAGATGATGATGATGATGATGATGATGATGATGATGATGATGCAGGATATAAGTAAACATAATAATAATAATAATAATAATAATAATAATAATAATAATAATAATAATGTTTACTTATGTCCTGCTTTTTCTCTCCACGACAATATGGTCCCAAGATCCCTAGATGATGATGATAATAATGCGGGATATAAGTAAATATTATTATTATTATTATTAGTAGTAGTAGTAGTAGTAGTAGTAGTATGTTTACTTATATCCTCCTTTTTCTCTCCACAAGGATATAGGTTCCTAGATGATGATGATGATGATGATGCAGGATATAAGTAAAATAATAATAATAATAATAATAATAATAATAATAATAATAATAATAATAATAATGTTTACTTATGTCCTGCTTTTTCTCGCCACGAGGATATCGGTCCCTAGATGATGATGATGATAATAATGCAAGATTTAAGTAAACATTATTATTATTATTATTATTATTATTATTATTATTATGTTTACTTATATCCCGCATTATTATTATTATTATTATTATTATTATTATTATTATGTTTACTTATATCCTGCTTTTTCTCTCCACAAGGATATCGGTTCCTAGATGATGGTGATGATGATGATGATAATAATAATAATAATAATAATAATGGATATAAGTAAGCATAATAATAACAATAACAATAACAATAATAATAATGTTTACTTATATCCTGCTTTTTCTCTCCACATGGATATCGGTCCCTAGATACCTAGATGGTGATGATGATGATGATGATGATGATGATGATGATGATGATAATGCGAGATATAATAAACATTCTGGTGTGAGAGAATTGGCCATCTACAAGGACGTTGCCCAGGGGATGTTGCCCGGATGTTTTACCATCCTGTGAGAGGCTTCTCTCATGTCCCTGCATGGAGAGCTGGAGCTGGCAGAGGGACCTCATCCGTACTCCCCCCGGATTCGAACCTCTGACCTGTCGGTCTTCAGTCCTGCCTGCACAGGGGTTTAACCCACTGCGCCACTGGGGGCTCCATAAGTAAACATAATAATAATAATGTGGGATATAAGTAAACATAATAACAATAAAAATAATAATAATAATAATGTTTACTTATATCCTGCTTTTTCTCTCCATGAGGATATGGGTCCCTAGATCCCTAGATGATGATGATGACGATGATAATAATAATAATAAGGCGGGATATAAGTAAACATAATAATAATAATAATAATAATAATAATAATAATAATAATAATATGTATCCATGACTTTTCTGTAACTTTTTACTTTTCTTCTTGGTTCTACAGTGTGCTCCATCCGGGTCATTGGGGAGAGCGACATCATGCAGGAGTTCTTGTCAGAGTCGGATGAGGTAGGCCAGACCATCCCAAGGGCCATCCAGTCCAACCCCCTTGTACTGGGCAGGGAAACAATCAAAGCCCCCCTGACAGATGGCCATCCAGCCTCTGCTTAAGAACCTCCAGAGAAGGACTCCGAGGCAGCATACTCCACTGTTGAATATCTCTTGTCATGAACGACTTTCTACTGAAGTAGTCCCAAAGTTGTAAATGAATGATAGACGTCTTCCATCTTGGACCCATCTCTGTTTCCTGGTCAGATGTTGATCTTCTTGATTGGTGTTGACAAACACAAGGCTTGTGTTGATTTCCTTCTTAATGTTGCAAGCATTTCATTAACTTGAAAGAATAGTTGTTCCAATTCTTATCAGAGTTTACTTTTCTTCTCTTATTAGCAACTTTTAATTACAGTCCAGCAAGCAGGTAGTTAGTCATTGCAGGCCTGGGTGTTTGCTTTGGTGGAACTCTGTGTATTTTCCTCCCAGAACTACAACGGGGTGTCGGACGTGGAGCTCCGAGTGGCCCTCCCAGACATCACGACGGTCACTGTCCGGGTCAAGAAGAACAGCACCACCGACCAGGTGTATCAGGTGAGGAGGAGATGCTTTCCGTCAGGTGCGAAGGAGCCGTTTGTGTCCGAGGGAGGCACCCCCCCCCCCCCAAATGAATGGAGATATTGCATGATATGGATCGTTAAGACTGGATCACCAGCTCTTTGTTTGCCCTTGTGTTAGCCCAGGACAAGTTATAATTCCTTTGCTCCTTCTCTTCTTTCTCTTTCTTAGCTTCCTATCATTTGCTCCTCTTCTTTCTCACCTTCTCTTCGTTCTCAATTTCCTATCCTTTGCTTATTCTCTTCCTTCTCAACTTCCTATTATTTGCTCCTTCTCTTCTTTCTCTCCTTCTCTTCCTTCACAACTTCATATAATTTGCTCCTTCTCTTCCTTCTCAACTTCCTATTATTTGTTCCTTCTCTTCTTTCTCACTTCTCTTCGTTTTCAACTTCCTATCATTTCCTCCTTCTCTTCTTTCTCTTTCTCGAGAAGTTGAGAAATTCTTTATCAATTTCCTATCATTTGCTCCTTCCCTTCTTTCTCTTTCTCATCTTCTCTTCCTTCTCAACATTTTAACCTTTGCTCCTTCCCTTCTTTCTCACCTTCCTATCATTTGCTCCTTCCCTTCTTTCTCTTTCTCACCTTCTCTTCTTTCTCAACATTCTATCCTTTGCTCCTTCCCTTCTTTCTCTTTCCCACCCTCTTTTCCTTCTCACCTCCCTATCATTTCCTCCTTCTCTTCCTTCTCGCATTCCTATCATTTGCTCCTTCCCTTCTTTTTCTTTCTCACCTTCTCTTCCTTCTCAACATTCTATCCTTTGCTCCTTCCCTTCTTTCTCACCTTCCTATCATTTGCTCCTTCCCTTCTTTCTCTTTCCCACCTTCTTTTCCTTCTCACATTCCTATCATTTGCTCCTTCCCTTTCTCACCTTCCTATCATTTGCTCCTTCCCTTCTTTCTCTTTCTTAACTTCTCTTCTTTCTCAACTTCCTATCCTTTGCTCCCTTTCTTCTTTCTCAACTTCCTATCATTCGCTCCTTCCCTTCTTTATCACCTTCTCTTCCTTCTCAACTTTCTATCCTATGCTCCTTCTCTTCTTTCTCTTTCTTGGCTTCCCTCATTTTGGTTCCTTTACATTAAATTTTACTGTCCCTTTACAAACAGCCCCCTTCCCGCTCTTATCCTTTCCTTCCACTTCCTTCTCACTTCCAATCGCAAAAGGATAGAGTCGGAAAAGACTCCCAAGGAGCCATTCCGTCCACCCCCATACTATCAGGCAGGAAATCGCAGTCCAAACCCTCCTGACAGATAGCCATCCAACCACTGTTTACAAAGTCATTCTGTAGTGTGTCTTTATTGCATTATATATATTTCAATTTCCTTCTCTTTCCGTCTCAGCGCCTTTTATTTCCCTTTCTTCCATTTGCACCCCAGGCTGTCGCCGCCAAAGTGGGGATGGACAGCACGACTGCCAACTACTTTGCCTTGTTCGAAGTGATAAATCACTCTTTTGGTAAGTCCTCTTTCCACATATTGAAATGTTTCTGAATGGTACAATGGGGGTGTTGAACCTCAGCAACAAGATGTTGGGGATGCTGGGGATTCCTCCTCAGAGGATGAGTTGAATGATGGATTTTTCACTTGAGTCTGTGTGTAATCAGGCTGAAACATAAGCAGAATTGCAGGCCGTAGATCGAGAGTTAGAGGATGTTTGGGATTCTGTTTCTCTGGGAAATCGGCCTTTAGAAGATACGTTGTTTTCCCATGATATCAGATTAGGCCTCTGCACTGAGAGAGTGAAGGAAAGGGTCAATTAGAAGGTTAGAAAGACTCTGTTGAGAAGCAGTCCTTGAAACCCAGGTGTTGAAGGGATGACCTCGTGGCTTCTTGGTCAGATTTGAGCTTAAATTAAGTGATGTTTTCTTGGTCTATTGAGAGCAGACAACGTTGTCGTAGAATCAGGTTCCTGGATCAGCTCTCATGTTGATGTGTCTTGTCTCCTGTGTTTGCCTTTGTTCCTGAAAGAGTTTTGCCTTGGAAAAGTTCCTGTTTTCATGCTTATGGATTTGTGCCTATGTTCTTGACACCCTAGATATCATCTACCTTGCTATTTTGGGCTATTGATCGCTATATTTATTTATTTATTTACTATATTTGTATACCGTCCTTCTCAGCCCTTAGGCGACTCATAATCTATAATTACTGCTATTTCCTAGCACCTTTTCTATAGCTTTTTGGGAATTGCCTTTTCTCCCTTTTGTAAATGTCTCTATAGGAAAGTTAGGGCCTAACTATCGATCTGTAGTGAAGTGTTGTCTCGCTCCATGGGGCCAGGATACCTGGGAAGTATTAGTCTAACGTCACAAAGAAAAAGGAGAGAATAGACAAACAGATAGACAGAGAGGTCCACGAGGGAAAGGCTTTCCCTGCCAGATAACTCGTCTGCTTATATTTCCTTGATGAGGACTATAAACTTGTGCAGGATGTGGTTGACTTCCAACACCTACTTCCAACACGTTATTAGTAACGACTTCTCGGAGGTCTCTCCTCCCTGTGAATCAGACTTGACGGCAATAGGAAATCATGCGGGCCCGTCTGACGGGGTTTGTTCTCTTTCCCCCTTTGTGGGTTCCTCGCTCGGCCCCACAGTGCGGAAGCTGGCTCCCAACGAGTTCCCCCACAAGCTCTATGTGCAGAACTACACCTCGGCCGTCCCCGGGACCTGCCTGACCATCCGGAAATGGCTCTTCACCACGGAAGAGGAAATCCTCCTGAACGACAATGACCTAGCAGTCACCTATTTCTTCCACCAGGTGGGACCTTTGTGCGGTTTGTTTACATGCGAAGGGGGCGAGCAAGCGGTGGGCATTTCCGTAGGGCTGGGTCAAGTTAGGGCTCGTGGATAAACAATCCTTTTAAACTGTACAGGCATAGTGATGCCTGCCTTGACAACACAGAGGTCTTGGGAGTCCTAGTGGACCACAAGTTGAACATGAGCCAACAATGTGATACAGCAGCTTAAAAAAGCCAATGCAATTCTAGGCTGCATTGAAAGGAGTCTAATGTGTAGTTCAAGGGAAATCATAGTAACCCTCTACTCTGCTTTGGTCAGACCTCTTTGGTCAGGCCTACTTCCAGGTCCTGATAGATAGATAGATAGATAGATAGATAGATAGATAGATAGATAGATAGATAGATAGATGAATGATGGACCAAAGATAGGCCTACCTCCAGGTCCCAAGAGAGAGAGAGAGAGAGAGATCGATGGCTGAGTGATGGACCTAAGATAGGTCTACCTCCAGGTCCAGATAGATAGATAGATAGATAGATAGATGGAAGAATGATAGACCTAAGATAGGCCTACCTCCAGGTCCCGATAGATAGATAGATAGATAGATAGATAGATAGATAGATAGATAGATAGATAGATAGAAGAATGATGGACCCAAGATAGGCCACCTCCAGGTCTCGATAGGTAGGTAGGTAGGTAGGTAGGTAGGTAGGTAAATAATAGAGTGATGGACCTAAGACAGTCCTACTTCCTGGTCTCAATAGATAGATAGATTGATGGATAGAAGAATGATGGACCTAAGATAGGTCTACCTCCAGGTCCCAATAGATAGATAGATAGATAGATAGATAGATAGATAGATAGATAGATAGATAGATAGATGAAAGATGAACCTAAGATAAGCCTACCTCCAGATATCGATAGATAGTTAGGTAGATAATAGATGATGGATCTAAGACAGGCCTACCTCCAGGTCCCAATAGATAGATAGATAGATAGATAGATAGATAGATAGATAATAGAGTGATGGACTAAGATAGACCTACCTCCAGGTCTCGTTCGGTAGGTAGGTAATAGATGATGGACCTAAGACAGGCCTACCTCCATATCCCAATAGATAGACAGACAGACAGATAGATAGATGATAGTGATGGACCTAAACCAGGCCTACCTCCAGGTTTCAATTGATAGGTAAGTAGATAGATAGAAGAGTGATGGACCTAAGATAGGCCTACCTCCAGGTCTAGATAGATAGATAGATAGATAGATAGATAGATAGATAGATAATACACGATGGACCTAAGACAGGCTTACCTCCAAGTCCCAATTGATAGGTAGGTAGGTAGGTAGGTAGGTAGGTAGGTAGATAGATAGATAGATAGATAGATAGATAATTGTGATGGACCTAAAACAGGCCTACCTCCAGGTCTCAATTGATAGGTCGGTAGGTAGGTAGGTAGGAGAATGATGGACCTAAAATAGGCCTACCTCCAGGTCTTGATAGATAGGTAGGTAGATAATAGATGATGGGCCTAAGACAGGCTTACCTCCAAGTACCAATAGATGGATAGATAGATAGATAGATAGATAGATAGATAGATAGATAATAGAGTGATGGACCTAAGACAGGCCTACCTCCAGGTCTCAATTGATAGGTAGGTAGGTAGGTAGGTAGGTAGGTAGGTAGGTAGATAATAGATGATGGACGTAAGACAGGCCTACCTCCAGGTCCCAATAGATAGATAGATAGGTAGGTAGATAGAGTGATGGACCTAAGACAGGCCTATCTCCAGGTCCCAATAGTTAGATAGATAGATAATAGAGTGATGGACCTAAGACAGGCCTACCTCCAGGTACCAGTAGGTAGGTAGGTAGGTAGGTAGGTAGATAGATAGATAGATAGATAGATAGATAGATAGATAGATAGATAATAGAGTGATGGACCTAAGACAGGCCTACCTTCAGGTCCCAGTGGACAGATAGACGGGTAGATGAATGATGGACCTGCTTTAAAGAACAATGGAGATTCTGGTGGGGAACTTGGGCTAGGAGTGAGAAGCCCATGCTGTGCAGGATCAGGGATTGAAAGACTTACGGGCATGTGAATTCCACTTGTGTCTTCCAGGCTGTCGATGACGTGAAGAAGGGCTACATCAAGGCTGAGGAGAAGTCCTACCAGTTGCAGAAACTCTGCGAGCAACGGAAGATGGTCATGGTAAGATTGGTGGCCTTCGAACCACTTCACTTGTTGGGGCAACGCCGGAGAGAAGGAAGCAGGATGCAATGATCTCCGCCTCGATCGACCTCTTCTTCCCTCTGGCTCTTCTCCGCAGTACCTGAACATGTTGCGGACCTGCGAGGGCTACAACGAGATCATCTTCCCGCACTGCTCCTGCGACTCCCGCCGCAAGGGCCACGTGATCACAGCCATCAGTATCAAGCACTTTAAGCTCCACGCCTGCACCGAGGAGGGCCAGCTGGAGGTCAGCCCTTGGGGACCGAGGCGGGAGGCATTAAAAATGCTTCTTTAAATATATAGTGTATATATCTGAGAGAACATCTCTCTGAGGGTCTCTAGGTCCTCCAGGGGATGTTGACCTGTTCATTTACGTATGGCGTTGGTACTGTGTCATTTTATCTTTACGTGTGGCACCTTGGGTGCTTTTGTGAGCTGCCCCGAGTCCTGTCATGGAGAATGGGGCAAGGTTGCAAATACAGTTTTTTAAAATTATTATTGCAGTGTTCCCTCGCTACTTTGCAGTTTGCTTTACGGGGACTTGCTGTATTGTGGGTTTTTATTTGTTTTTATTTATTTACTAGCTTGGGGACCTGGCGGTGCCTAGGTGATTTGAGATAGGCATTGTGTGCCAAGTTTGGTTTTTATCAGTTATTTATGTGGCTTGCAGTGCTCTCGGGAATTTAGTGAAGGTACTGCGAGTCCCATCGTCCATGGTCCAACCTCCTCCAAACAGCACAAGGATGTAGAGTGGGTCTTCAGGGCTCTGTGTGCCAAGTTTGGTCTTGATCACTCATTGGATGAGGGTCGCAGCAGTCTCAGGAAGTGAGTGGTGGTACTTCAAGTCCCATCATCCATGGTCCATCCTCCTCCAAACTACACCAGTATGTAGAGTGGGTCATGAGGGATCTGTGTGCCAAGTTTGGCCTTGATCAGTCATTGGATGAGGGTTGCAGCGGTCTCAGGAAGTGAGTGGAGGTACTTCAAGTCCCATCATCCATGGTCCATCCTCCTCCAAACTGCACCAGGATGTAGGTCATGGGGGCTCTGTGTGCCAAGTTGGTCTTGATCAGTCATTGGGTGAGGGTCGCAGCAGTCTAGGGAAGTGAGTGGAGATACTTCAAGTCCCATCATCCATGGTCCAACCTCCTCCAAACAGCACCAGGATATAGAGTGGGTCTTCCGGACTCTGTGTGCCAAGTTTGGTCTTGATCAGTCATTGGATGAGGGTCGCGGTGGTCTCGGGGAGTCAGTGGAGGTACTTCTAGTCCCATCATCCATGGTCCATCCTCCTCCAAACTACACCAGTATGTAGAGTGGGTCATGGGGGATCTGTGTGCCAAGTTTGGTCTTGATCAGTCATTGGGTGAGGGTCGCAGCGGTCTCGGGAAGTGAGTGGAGGTACTTCAAGTCCCATCATCCATGGTCCATCCTATAAACTACACCAGTATGTGGAGTGGGTCATAGGGGCTCTGTGTGCCAAGTTTGGTCTTGCTCAGTCATTGGGTGAGGGTCGCAGCGGCCTCAGGAAGTGAGTGGAGGTACTTCAAGTCCCATCATCCATGGTCCATCCTCCTCCAGACTACACCAGGATGTAGAGTGGGTCGTAGGGGCTCTGTGTGCCAAGTTTGGTCTTGATCAGTCTTCGTTGGAGGCTGGTAAGAAAATAATATATAAAATATATAAAATAATATATAAATATTAAAATTAATATAGCGTCCTTACTTTGCGGATTTTCACTCATTGCGGGTTCCGTCCTGGAACGGAACCCCCGCGATAAGTGAGGGAACACTGTATTATTATTATTATTATTATTATTATTATTATTATTATTATTATTATTTTCTTGTTATGTTCACACTATACATTATTATTATTATTATTATATTCTTGTTATGTTCGCACTATACGTTATTATTATTATATTGTTATGTTCACACTATACATTATTATTATTTATATTCTTCTTGTGTTCGCACTATACATTATTATTATTATTATTATTATATTCTTGTTATATTCACAATATACATTATTATTATTATATTCTTGTTATGTTCACACTATACATTATTATTATTATTATATTCTTATGTTTACACTATACATTATTATTATTATATTCTTGTTATGTTTGCACTATACTTTATTATTATTATTATTATTATTATTATAATATTTTTCTTATGTTCACACTATACATTATTATTATTATTATTATTATTATTATTATTATATTCTTATGTTCACACTATACATTATTATTATTATATTCTTGTTATGTTCACACTACATTATTATCATTATTATTATTATTATTATTATTATATTGTTATGTTCACACTATACATTATTATTATTATTATTATATTCTTATGTTTACACTATACATTATTATTATTATATTCTTGTTATGTTTGCACTATACTTTATTATTATTATTATTATTATTATATTTTTCTTATGTTCACACTATACATTATTATTATTATTATTATTATTATTATTATTATATTCTTATGTTCACACTACATTATTATCATTATTATTATTATTATTATATTGTTATGTTCACACTATACATTATTATTATTATTTATATTCTTGTTATGTTCGCACTATACATTATTATTATTATTATTATTATTATTATTATTATTATTATTATATTCTTGTTATATTCACACTACACGTTTCTCTCCTTCCAGAACCAGGTCATAGCCTTTGAATGGGACGAGATGCAGCGGTGGGACACAGACGAGGAGGGCATGGCCTTCTGCTTCGAGTACGCCCGAGGGGAGAAGAAGCCGCGATGGGTGAAGATCTTCACTCCTTACGTAAGCAGAGGGACAGTCCCTTAGGTTGGCCACCAGGGGGCGCCATGAGGACGTTGTAGCGTGGGAAAGGCCTCTGGAGGAGTGACGCTTCCTTCCTTCCTCCCTTCTCTCCGCAGTTTAACTACATGCACGAGTGTTTCGAGCGGGTTTTCTGCGAGCTTAAGTGGCGGAAAGAGGTGAGGGTCGGCAACTCAGATGTGATCCGTATTCTGGGGATTTTTCTCCTGCTGGTTCCCAAAAATGGCGCCAAGTTTCGTTTCCGATCAGTTCTATTTTTTGAGAAAAAGCGGGGTATAAATATAATAAAATGACTGCTATGATAAGATATAATATTATATATATATATATATATATATATATATATATATATATATATATAATAAAAATAAAAATGTAATGTCATAACAACACCGGAAAACACAGCGGAAGAGACTTTAAAAGCCAAAAAATAAAAAAATACATTACAACACATGCGCAGAACCACACACACACATATATATACACACAAATATATACACACATATTCACACACAATGCACATATACACAGACTGGGCCACAGCAATGCGTGGCATGGAACGGCGAGTATATATAAATAAAAATGTAATGTTTATTTGTGGGATTAACACAACTCAAAAACCACTGGATGAATTGGCACCAAATTTGGACACAAGACTCCCATCAAGTCAACGAGTGACCATCACTCATAAAAACACTGATAAACGCAGCAGAAAAGACTTAAAAAGCCAAAAAAACAAAAAAATATATTACAATGCATGTGCAAAACCACATATATACACAAACACACATATACATGCATATATATACACACAATACACATATACACAGGCTGGGTCACAGCAACGTGTGGCATGAGACAGCTAGTGTTTATATCTATCTAAGTATCTATCTATCTATCTATCTATCTTCTATATAAATAAAAATGCAATGTTCGTTTGTGGGATTAACACAACTCAAAAACCACTGGATGAATTGACACGAAATTTGGACACAAGACAGGCCAACGAGTGTCCATCACCCATAAACGCACACACACACACACACACAAAACCCCAGCAGACCAGACTTAAAAAACCCCAAAATACACCATATATACATTTACACATACACTCATATACATATGCACATACACACAGGTACAAACACAAATACAATACACACATACATATATGCATATACACATGCACACACATATCCATATCCACATACATACGTATATACACAAATTGCATATAGACAAGCACACACATATACACAATATGCATGTACACATATATGTACACAAATGTATACACACATATACACACACACATATATACCCATATATATATATATATATATATATATATATACACACACACACACACACACACAAACACATATATACACAAATATATACACACATATACACAATATGCATATACACATATAAACACACAAATATACACACACATATATACGCACATATATATACATCCCCATATATATATATAGCAAACACATATATACACAAATATACACACATATATACACAGATATATATATATACACACGCACATATATACACACACAAAACACATATACACAAACTGGGCCACAGCAATGCATGGCAGAGGATGGCCAGTTATAATTATATTATATTATATTATATTATATTATATTATATTATATTAATTATATTATATTATATTATATATAATATTATTATAATATAATATATATATTATATAATATATATTATATAATACATATTACTATTATTATTATTAATAATAATAATAACAATAACAATAATATATGATATAATAATATGAGCCCCCAGTGGTGCAGTGGGTTAACCCCTTGTGCCAGCAGGACTGAAGACCGACAGGATAAGCTCCCTCTGTCAGCTCCAGCTCCCCATGCGGGGACATGAGAGAAACATCCTTGCAGATGGCCAATTCTCTCACACCAGAAGCAACTTGCAGTTTCTCAAGTCACTCCTGATACGAAAGAAAATGACTCCTAGTTAAGCATGGGGCTGAGACAACAGGAATTGAGAGAAATCTGCCCCTCTGAAAGGAAATTCCCTCCAGGGGGAAAGGGTCTCTTTGTGAACGCCTCGTAACACAACCCCTCTCTGTGTGTGTGTGTGTGTCCCCGAAGGTGGAAGAAGAAGCGACAGACAAAGACAACAAGAATTGCAGTAAAGACAATATGTGCAGCAAGGTAACAAACAGCGGGTGGGACGATAATGCTTTTCTTCGATTGCAGGTTAGTAGCGCAAGGGGCCCCTTCCTCCCCCAACCCCTCCTTTTCCGCCCCTGCTTGGAGGGACCCCCCCCCCCCCCCCACTGCCCAGCATCTGAGCCCCGCTGCTTTTGGCTCCTCACCTTCTCCTTCCCAAAGGGAACTTTCCTCCCAAACGGGACAGTGACGCCGACCATCATTGTGCCTGTTGCCTTTCTTCTTTCCTCATCTTTCCTTCCTTTTCCTTCCTTCCGCTAGTCTTTTCCTTTCTTTCCTTCTCTTTCCATCTTTCATCTTTTTCCTTCTTCTTTTTTTCTGTCTTCTTGCTTTCCTTCTTTCTCTTTTCTCTCTCATCCCTTCCTTCTTTCCTTTATTGCTTCCTTCCTTCCTTCCTTCCTTCCTTCCTTCCTTCCTTCCTTCCACCCCCTTCCTCTTTCCATCTCTTCCTTCCTTCCTCCAGCTCTTTTTTCCTTCCTTCCTTCCTTCCTTCCTTCCTTCCTTCCTTCCTTCCTTCCTTCTTCTCCTTCCTTCCTTCCTTCCTTCCTTACTTATCTTACTTACTTCTTACTGACTGAATTAATTATGTCAAGACATTCCTCGAGTAGACCTAATTACTGGAATTACTAAAAAAAATTAATTAGTAAGATCAGGAATTAATTCCTCAAGCTCATTTTTTAATTACTTTCCTTATGTAAGTTCCTTCCTTTCATTCCTTCCTTAATGACTACCTGTCTTAATTCGTTTCACATAAATTGATTAAATTCACATTAAGTGAATCCTTCTTCATACATCTTTAAATAAATGCTTACTTCATCCAAGCTCGTATTTCCCTTCTTTCCTTCCTTCCTTCCTCCTTCCTTTTTTCTTCCTTCCTTCCCTTCTTTCTTCTTTCCTTTTTGCTCCCTTCCTTCCATTCCCCGCCTCTTCTTTCCATCCTTTAGCTGTTCCCTCCGTTCCTTCCCTCCTTCTTTCCATCTTTCTTTCTTCCTGTCTGTGAATTTTACAAACCTCTCCCTCCCTATTTGATGGCTTCATCTCTTTCCTGGTCTGCTCCCTTTAAATGATATTAACACACCTTTCCTTCTAATTTGTAAATTTCATGATTGACAGGTGTCTCTAAGATTATTATAACAAATTACAAGATCTTGGCCAAATTGTGACCAACAGCAAAGTGGGCTCAGATGGGGTGCCAACCTCACACCATCACAACTTACTTCCCCTTCCTCCCTCCCTCCCTTTCGTCTTTCCTTCCTTCCTTTCTCTTTTCATCCCTTCTCTTTTTCTCTCTCCCTTCTTTCTACTCCCTCCATCTTTCTTTCTCTTTTATCCTTCCTCTTTTCCTCCCTTCCTTTTTCCACTCACTCCATCTTGCCTGCTTTTTTTTCTTTCTTTTTTTCTCTCTTTCTTTCTCTTTTTATCCTTTCTCTTTTCCTCCCTACCTGCCTGTCTTCTACTCCCTCCTCTTTCTCTTTCTCTCTCTCTCTTCCTTCCTTCCTTCCGCTTTTCATCCCTTCTCTTTTTCTCCTTCCTTTCCTTTTACTCCCTCCTTCCTTCCTTCATTCCTTCCTTCCTCCCTCTTTTCATCCCTTCTCTTTTTCTCCCTCCTTTCCTTTTACTCCCTCCATCCTCCTTCCTTCCTTTCTCCCTCTTTTCATCCCTTCTCTTTTCTTGCTCCCTCCCTTCCTTCTACTCCCCCATCTATCTATCTTTCCTTCCTTCCTTCCTTCCTTCCTTCCTTCCTTCCTTCCTTCTTTCTTTCTTTCTTTCTTTCTTTCTTTCTCTCCTTCCACCTTCTTCTTGTCCTCCCTTCCTTCCTTCCACTCCCTTCCTCTATCCTGCCTGCTTTTCTTTCTTTCTTTCCTTCTTTCTTTCTTTCTTTCTTTCTTTCTTTCTTTCTTTCTTTCTTTCTTTCATTCATTCATTCATTCTTTTGTTCTTTTTCCCTTCCTTCCTTCTTTCCTTCCTGACTTGCTCCAGGATCGCCATTTTTCTCTATCCCCTATATTTAAACAGTGCTTGCTCTGGAGTTCCATTTCCTACAAGGATGATGGGACTGGTAGTCTTTTGCTCTGCCCAGGACAAATCCCACAATCCCATTGTGATGTTGTGTGTGCAAACCCATCCCTCCCCCTGTTTTCCCCTGTCTCCCATTGGCAAATAAAGCTGCTTGCATCTTTCTGGGAGCGGCTCGGGAAATGTATTTATTTCTTTATTTACAGCATTTATTTATGTCCCGCCCTTCTCACCCTGAAGGAGTCTCAGGGCAGATCACAGAACATACATATGCATATGGATAATGTTTATTCAGTGTCGTTTATACACTGACAAGATAGACAATTGTACATAAGTAGAGAGATATATATATAGCCTTCGTGGTGCAGTGAGTTAAACCGTTGAGCTACTGCTGACCAAAAGGTCAGCAGTTCGAATCTGGGGAATGGGGTGAGCTCCCACTGTTAGCCCCAGCTCCTGCCAACCTAGCAGCTCAAAAGCATGCACATGTGAGTAGATCAATAGGGAAGGTCACGGCGCTCCATGCAGTCCACATGACCTTGGAGGTGTCTACGGACAATGCCGACTCTTTGGCTTAGAAATGGAGATGAGTTGGACATGACTGGACTTAATGTCAGGGGAAACCCTTACTTTTATTTATTTACTTAACTTTTGCTTTCGAACTGCTGGATAGGGACCAGGAGCTGGGCTAAAGACCAGGAGCTCACCCTGACCTGGGCTTTGAACTGTCAACTTGCAGTTGGTGGTTTAACCTGTGCTAAAGCCCAGCCCTGCTGCAGCTGGTGGAAATTGATTGAGGAATCCCAATACAGTGTTCCCTCACTTTTTGCGGGTGTTACGTTCCAGGAACCGCAAAACAGTGAATCCATGAAAAGCGAACTGCGAAGTAGCGAGGGAACACTGTACATTATTATATCTATTGTAAAACTGCGAAACTGAATCCATGAGAAGCAAAGTAGCGAGGGAACACTGTACATTGCTATATATATTTGTAAAACTGCGAAACAGTGAATCCACGAAAAGCGCACTGCGAAGTAGTGAGGGAACACTGTACATTATTGTATTTATTGAAAAACCGCGAAACAGTGAATCCACGAAAAGTGAACTGCAAAGTAGCGAGGGAACACTACATTACTATATTTATTGTAAAACCGCGAAACATTGACTCAGCGAAAAACGAACTGCAAAGTAGCGAGGGAACACTGTATATTACTATATTTATTGTAAAAACCATGAAACAGTGAATCCATGAAAAGCGAACTGCAAAGTAGCGAGGGAACACTACATTACTATATTTATTGTAAAACCGCAAAACAGTGAATCCACGAAAAGCGAAGTAGCGAGGGAACACTACATTACTATATTTATTGTAAAACCGCGAAACATCGAATCAGCGAAAAACGAACGGCAAAGTAGTGAGGGAACACTGTTCATTACTATATTTATTGAAAACCCACGAGTCCGCAAACTGCGAAGTAGCGAGGGAACACTGTACATTACTATATTTATTGTAAAACCGCGAAACATCGAATCAGCGAAAAACGAACGGCAAAGTAGTGAGGGAACACTGTTCATTACTATATTTATTGAAAACCCACGAGTCCGCAAACTGCGAAGTAGCGAGGGAACACTGTACATTACTATATTTATTGTAAAACCGCGAAACATCGAATCAGCGAAAAACGAACGGCAAAGTAGTGAGGGAACACTGTTCATTACTATATTTATTGAAAACCCACGAGTCCGCAAACTGCGAAGTAGCGAGGGAACACTGTACATTACTATATTTATTGTAAAACCGCGAAACATCGAATCAGCGAAAAACGAACGGCAAAGTAGTGAGGGAACACTGTTCATTACTATATTTATTGAAAACCCACGAGTCCGCAAACTGCGAAGTAGCGAGGGAACACTGTACATTACTATATTTATTGTAAAACCGCGAAACAAAAAAACAAACAAACTGTGAAGTAGTGAGGGAACACTGTACATTTCTGTATTTATTGAAAAACAGCGAAACAGTGAATCCACGAACCGCGAAGTAGTGAGGAAACACTCTACTTCACTGTATTTATTGAAAAACCGTGAAACAGAGAAAAACAAACTGTGAAGTAGCGAGGGAACACTGTACATTATTGTATTTATTGTAAAAACCGTGAGTCCACGAAAAGCGAACTGCAAAGTAGCAAGGGAACACTGTACATGACTGTATTTATTGAAAAACCGTGAAACAGTGAATCCGCGAAAAGTGAACTGCAAAGTAGCGAGGGAACACTATATTTTCGGGGATCCTTTCTGAACGGGGAGGGAGTTTTGCGTCCGTCCTTCCCGCACCTTAACCTTCTCTCCTTTCTTCTCCTTCTTGTCGTTCCAGAACATCTTTCAGGTGATGCGGACACAGCACAGAGACATTACGACTTAGCCTTGAGCCGCCTTGGACAAAACCGTATTATCCCCCCCCCCCCCCCCCCCCCCCCCCCCCCCCCCCCGCGGTCCTTCCTCTTAAAAAATTTAACACTTTTAAAAAACGCAAGAAAAAAAATGAGAGGGAAACATGATTTATTGTACTCATGCCCTTAAAACTAAATATTAATACCATTTGTGAATTTCATGTTTAAGCAACTTTGGGGAACCCACGAAGCCGCTGGAAATATGGGAGCGGGGAGTTCAGAGAAAAACTAAAAAAACATGGCTTCTTATCGTTTTTTCCCCCTCTTCCCCTTCCTGGAGTCGTGTTGTGAAAAGATGGACGATGCCGAGGGATTGTTCTTTCCTTTCTCTTAATTTGGATTGTTTTTGTTTTGTTTTTTTTCTACAACTGGATATAGATATGTACATCCATTTGCACTGTTTGGACATATATATGTATGTATGTAAAGAAAATTATATATACAAACTATCACGCACGTATATACATATATATAATTTTCATATCGGCGGGCGTTACCCTTGGAGCGCACAGAAGGGGGTCTCCTTCCGCCTGGGTTTGTTGTGCTGTTGTTGTTGTTGTATTATTAATTTTTTTTTGTAGAAAAATCTAGAAGAAGGAAGCAAAGAAAAAGAGAGAGAAAAGGAAACGCCTCTCCTAGTCTATAGGGATTTGAACCGAAACACACATGTTGGTCGCCATCGGTTTTGGACACTTGAAACGAAGTTTTGTTTTGACGAGAGTCTTTCGGAAGTTGGGGAAAAGTCTTGGAATATCGGCACTTTCGGGGTTTCATCTCAGTGGAAATGCCCATGTTTGAATGTATACAGTCGCGGGAACTTAAATCGATGTTTTCTTATTTTTTTTTTCAAAGTGCAAAATTTAATTTCAGCTCTGGCCATTTCCTACCTTCACCGTCGAGATATCATTAAGAGTTTTTTGGTCTTACATTTATACCTTTCAGGTTCGGCGTTTGGTTTGTTTGGGCGGGAGGGAGGGGTGGGATTACGATTGGAAAACCTGTGGACACCCGGGACAAAATTGTCACCAAACATAGCCGTGGTCAGCAAATCAAGGTGGAAAATGAGACCTCGGAGGGGACGTCGTTCTCCACCATTTATTGCCACGACATCCTCTGGTTTCTTTTGGTGGACTAATAAATGCAACCTTCTCAGTGTTGAGCGAGTTGCCCATTTTATGGCGCCTTAGTCAACCGGAATACAATGCAAGGGAAATACATTACAGGTTTTTCCATTCTCACTGAAAATATTGGGAGAAGAAGAAACACAGAGCTGGGGAGCATCACCGATGTAGATGGTTGGGATTTGGGTTGGAGATCTTTGTAGGACAGGAGATACCTGGCAACTTGGAGGGCTTGGTTCGTTCGACCAAGGTTCCTTCAGTGGGGTTGGTTATGCTGCAACTTTTCAGGATCTAAAGAGCATCACCAATGTAGAGGGTTGGGATTTGGGTTGGAGATCTTTGTAGGACAGGAGATACCTGGCATCTTTGAGTGTTTGGTTCGTTCAACCAAGGTTCCTTAAGTGAGGTTGGTTATGCTGCAACAAAGATGTCCCATTGAGCTTTTCAGGATCTAAAGAGCATCACTGATGTAGAGCTTTGGGATTCGGGTTGGAGATCTTTGTAGGACAGAAGATATCTGGCATCTTTGAGGGTTTGGTTCGTTCAACCAAGGTTCCTTAAGTGAGGTTGGTTATGCTGCAACAAAGATGTCCCATTGAGCTTTTCAGTATCTAAAGAGCTTCACCAATGTAGAGGATTGGGATTTGGGTTGGAGATCTTTGTAGGACAGGAGATACCTGCCATATTTGAGGGCTTGGTTCAACCAAGGTTCCTTCAGTGAGGTCAGTTATGCCACAGCAGAGATGTCCCATTGAGCTTTTGTGACTTTCCCAGCTTTCAGGAGTCAAAGAGCATCACTGATGTACAAGGTTGGGATTTGGGTTGGTTACCTGCCATCTTTGAGGGCTTGGTTCAACCAAGATTCCTTTGGGACATTGAGCTTTTGGATCCCAGCCTTCAGGATCCAAAAGCTCAATGTCCCATTGAGATCTTGGTAGGACAGAAGAGTTTTTGTGACTTTCCCAGCCTTCAGGATCCAATGAGTATCACTGATGAAGAGGGTTGGGATGAAGAGGGTTGGGAAGAGCCATTTATAGGTCTTCACAATTCAATTAAACTTAAAATATTACATTAAATAAATCTGTCAGCAATTGAGACATGTGAAAAGATCTTTGTAGGACAGGAGATACCTGGCATCTTTGAGGGCTTAGTTTGATCAAGGTTCCTTCAGTGTGGTCTGTTATGCTATCACAGAGATGTCCCATTGAGCTTTTGTGACTTTCCCAGCCTTTAGGATCCAAAGAGTATCACTGATGAAGAGGGTTGGGATTTGGGTTGGAGATCTTGTAGGACAGGAGATACCTGCCATCTTGGAGGGCTTGGTTTGTTTGACCAAGGGTCCTTCATTAAGCTCGTTTATGCTGTGACAAAGATGTCCCATTGAGATTTTGTGACTTTCCCAGCCTTTAGGATACAAAGAACATCACGGATGTACAGGGTTGGGATTTGGGCTGGAGATCTTTGTAGGACAGGAGATACCTGTCATCTTGGAGGGCTTGGTTCGTTTGACCAAGGTTCCTCCAGTGAGGTTGGTAATGCCGTGACAAAGATGTCCCATTTAGCTTTTGTGACTTTCCCAGCCTTCAGGATCCAAAGAGCATCACTGATGAAGAGGGTTGGAATTTGGGTTGGAGATCTTGGTAGGACAGAAGATACCGGTCATCTTTGAGGGCTTGGTTCGTTCGACCAAGGTTCCTTCAGTGAGGTTGGTAATGCTGCAACAAAGATGTCCCATTGAACTTTTGTGACTTTCCCAGCCTTTAGGATCCAAAGAGTATCACTGATGAAGAGGGTTCGGATTTGGGTTGGAGATCTTTGTAGCACAGGAGATACCTGCCCTCTTTGAGGGCTTGGTTCGTTCAACCAATATTCCTTCAGTGCGGCCTGTTATACCGCAACAGAGATGTCCCATTGAGCTTTTGTGACTTTCCCAGCCTTCAGGATCCAAAGAACATCACGGATGTACAGGGTTGGGATTTGGGATGGAGATCTTTGTAGGACAGGAGATACCTGGCATCTTTGAGGTCTTTTTTCAACCAAGGTTCCTTCTGTGCAGTCGGTTATGTTGCAACAGAGATGTCCCATTGAGCTTTTGTGACTTTCCCTGTTTTCAGGATCCAGAGAGCATTGCTGATGAAGAGGGTTGGGATTTGAGTTGGAGATCTTGGTAGGACAGGAGATACCTACCATCTTTGAGGCCAAGGTTCTTCAGTGCAGAGATGTCCCATTGAGCTTTTATGACTTTCCTAGCTTTCAGTAGCCAAAGGGGAAAGAAGAACGTAGGAGGAGGTCCACCTTGGCCCCTCTTGTTGGTCTCCAAAAGTAAGCCTCGTTCTTCTTCTGATGTGGCCTCATATTACTTTGTCCCACCTCCGTTGGACTTCTCTTGCTCTGCAAATTGGTCAAATCCCTTTGGAAGCCAGCGACTTTTCCAACCATCTAAGGACAGCAGATCCCCTGAACTTCTGCCATTGAACAGGGACAGCATTGCTCATTTGGGAAAGGCATGTGGAGATAGCCCAGCGTTTAGGTCTTGGCATCTTCCTTTTCTTTGGAAGGATTTTTGGGTTGTGTGCAAGGCTAAGAAAGGGATGCCAAGATTTCCAGCCCGCCATCATCCAAATAGTGAAATTTCAGTGTTTTGAAAGTCAAACTCTTCTCCCTTTGCTTTCCTTGTGGGTTTTGGAGACTTCCCCGGGAGGAGACCCATTGAAAGAGCTCTGAATTGTCCTGTTAATCCAGAAAACCCTGCTCTTTTGCTTTCCAGCACTGCATGCGGACACGTTTTGTACAGCTACAGCAGTGAGTACCGTTCAGCCGCCGTCTGCGGAAGAGTTAGAAAAGTTGAGCTAAGCTTGTCTCCATACGTTTGTCCGTAAGTTAACTTTTAATTTTGGTGGTTTGGTGGAGGTGTCGGAAGAAGAGTCTTGGGGAGAAAGTAAGGGAAAGAGTGTGGCAGTAGCATTGGCCTTGGAGGAAAGTATCTCCTTGGAGGAGATACTTTCCTCAAAAGTTACCTTCCTTCCTTGGTCCAGCAGGGTTGATGGCGGAGGACCATCGCTTCAATCCTGGTGGTCTTTACTTCTTCCAGCACGCTGACATTTGTCCGGTTGTCTTCCCATGAGATTTGCAAGATTTTCCAGAGGCAGTGCTGATGGAATCGTTCTAGGAGTTGCATGTGACGTCTGTAGACAGTCCACGTTTCTCATGTGTATAGCAGGGTTGGAAGGACAATGGCATTATAGACAAGCACCTTGCTATCCCTACAGATGTCCCAGTCCTCAAACACTCTCTGCTTCATTCGGAAGAATGCTGCACTCGCAGAGCTCAGGCAGTGTTGCATTTCAGTGTCAGTCTTGACGTCTGTAGACAGTCCATGTCTCGCAGGCATATAGCAAGGTTGGGAGGACAATAGCTTTATAAACAAACACCTTGGTATCCCAACGGATGTCCCAGTCCTCAAACACTCTCTGCTTCATTTGGAACAGGCAGTGTTGCATTTCAGTATCAGTATTGATGTCTGTAGACAGTCCACATCTCGCAGGCATATAGCAGGGTTGGGAGGACAATAGCTTTATAAACGAACACCTTGGTTACCTACAGATGTCCCAGTCCTCAAACACTCCCTGCTTCATTTGGAACAGGCAGTGTTGCATTTCAGTGTCAGTGTTGATGTCTGTAGACAGTCCACATCTCGCAGGCGTAGAGCAGGGTTGGGAGGACAATAGCTTTATAAACGAACACCTTGGTTCCCTACAGATGTTCCAGTCCTCAAACACTCTCTGCTTCATTTGGAAGAATGCTGCACTCGCATAGCTCAGGCAGTGTTGCATTTCAGTGTCAGTGTTGATGTCTGTAGACAGTCCACATCCCGCAGGTGTAGAGTAGGGTTGGGAGGACAATAGCTTTATAAACGAACACCTTGGTTCCCTACAGATGTTCCAGTCCTCAAACACTCTCTGTTTCATTTAGAAGAATGCTGCACTCGCATAGCTCAGGCAGTGTTGCATTTCAGTGTCAATGTTGAGGTCTGTAGACAGTCCACGTCTCGCAGGCGTAGAGCAGGGTTGGGAGGACAATAACTTTATAAACAAGCACCTTGGTATCCCTACGGATGTCCCAGTCCTCAAACATTCTGCTTCATTTGGAACAGGCAGTGTTGCATTTCAGTATCAGTGTTGATGTCTGTAGACAGTCCACATCTCGCAGGCGTAGAGCAGGGTTGGGAGGACAGTAGCTTTATAAACGAACACCTTGGTTCCCTACAGATGTCCCGGTCCTCAAACACTCTCTGCTTCATATGGAAGAACGCTGCACTCACAGAGCTCAGGCAGTGTTGCATTTCAGTGTCAGTGTTGATGTCTATAGACAGTCCACATCTCGCAGGTGTAGAGCAGGGTTGGGAGGACAATAGCTTTATAAACAAGCACCTTGGTCTCCCTACGGATGTCCCGCTCTTCAAACACTCTCTGCTTTCAATCCCTTCCTGAATCTTTGAACTTGAAAAGGGGCGATAACTGATTTCTTTCCTTCAGCACGACCTCTCTCTCTCTGTATCTCCCTTTGCTGCTGATCATCTCTCGTAATCCAGATTACGTCCATCCGACTGCGTGGGTCTATCCGTATTTTTGTCTTTCCGCTTGCATGCATTCTCTCCTCCGTTCTCCCTACGGTCAGCTGCTTTCCAGATCAGATGCCGCGGGCCCTTTTAGGACATCCTTCTGGCTACTTCGCGCGCCTCTTCCTTCGCTTTCCAAACCGGTGATTTCTTTAACTTGCTCGCAAATTCCCGCCTGCAGCCATTGCTTGACACACCGAGCAGGATTTTAAATGGGTTTATTATTATTATTAGTTTGTATAATCGTTCCGCTCGGAGTGTGTCCTGATCCGAAGCTGGGATGGAAGGGGGAAAGGACGCTTTTTGCAAGTTGCAACCGGATCCGTTTTGCCAAGCGACCGCAGGGCTTTTCTGTCGAAAGCAAACGCTGCTGCCAGCATCTTTGAGCCTCAAAGCTGCCGTTCCAAACATCATTAGGGC